CCTGCTCTCCTCGCCCTCCAGCAGCTTCCTGTAGGTGGCAATCTCCACGTCCAGGGCCAGCTTGACGTTCATGAGCTCCTGGCACTCCTTCAGCAGCCGGGTCATGTCCTGCCTGGCGGTTTTCAGAGCAGCCTCCAATTCGGCGACGTTGGCCTGAGCCTTCTTGATGGCCATCTCCCCATGCTGCTCAGCATCAGTGATGGCAGCCTCCAGAGAAGCCCTCTGTAGGGGGAGAGGTACAGGTAAGCAAGTAGAGCAGAGTGTGGTTGCCTCCTGCCCCTGCACCCACTCCACCCTTCCTTCCTCCTCCTCTAGGGACCCCCTCCTTGACCTAGACTAACCAACCCCACCCAGCTCAAAGAAAATGCTACCAGTGAGTTCTAGAGATAGAATGGGGAAATATGAGCAGCTTCCAGGCACTTTCCCACATAAACTTCTCACCTGAGACACTATAAGGTGTTTTCCCTGCCCTAGCTGAACTAGATCTCAGCTTTCTAGACTTCCTTAAAGCACCAATCTTATCCTGATGTACAATACATAAAATAAAGCAGGCTTGGGGGAGCCATCTGGCCTCCAACCTACCTGCCAAGCCCCCTTTGGCCCGTCATGGCCTCAGGGGCCTCCTCTGCACCCCTCAGCCTCCCAGAAGCAGTCTGAGAAGCTTAACTGTAACTGCCCCTCCAACTCCTGAACTCTTATCCAGGATTCCTTCCCCGACCCTGAGACCCCTCACTCCTTCTTGCATTATCTCCTCTCACTGGGACATGTTTGAGGATCCTCTCCTGCCCCCAGTCCAGCCTATACCTGGCCTTTGAGGGCATCAATTTCAGCCCGGATTCGGCTGATGTTCCGGTTCATCTCAGAAATCTCTGTCTTCGTGCGACGCAGGTCATCCCCATGCTTCCCAGCCAAGGACTGCAGCTCTTCGTACTTGATCTGGTACATGGTCTCAGCCTCAGCCCTGCTGCGGTTGGTAATCTCCTCATACTGGGCCTTGACGTCAGCAATGATGCCGTCCAGGTCCAGGGAGCGGTTGTTGTCCATGGAGAGGACCACGGACGTGTCGGAGATCTGGGCCTGCAGCTCACGGATCTCCTGTGGTGGAGAGGGGAGGTGGTGAGGCCTTGTCCCTGCACTCAAGGAGCCCCTTTTTGCAGAGGGCTTTCCTCAGGGAACAAGCAGGAAGCAACAGCAGCAACAGAGTAGATGACCAGGTGAGCATGAGGACTGGGGATAGGACAAAGTTCCTGAAGAAGGCAGATGGGTTGAAGACCTGGAACCTGGACAGATGTAAAGATGAAATGAGGCCAGGATAGATGGAAACCTAGCTTTGGGTGACCAACCAGAGGGACAGGGCGCTTCCATGCTCTCAGTTACCAATACTCAGCCCACAGAGAGCTCCCACACATGATCCAAAGACTCAGAACAAACGCTCTTGGAAAGAGCGGGCCCAAGTCGCGACTGGGTCACCACTCTATGTATGATGACATTGGACTATTTCAGTTCTCTGAGCCCATTTTCTTCTCTGGGAAATGGGATAATCAAGCCTCTCTCATGCAGGGGGACAGGACATGTAGAAAGGCTATGTTGGGTTATCATCAGTAGCTGTAATTATTCAGTGGTGGGCCCTTGTCTGTTGGTACACCGGGGGCTGGGAGGAGCCTCGGTTGCGATTGAAGGAACAAGAACGCACCTCTGCATACAGCTTCCTGAAGAAGTTGATCTCATCAGTCAGCCCTTCCAGGCGGGACTCCAGCTCTACCTTGTTCATGTAAGCTTCATCCACATCCTGAGGGGTGTGGTGGGAGATGGGAGAAGGAGAGGGAGCTGAGTGCCCACATTGGACCCCAACCCAGAGGCACCCAATGGCTATTGCCTTGCCCACCTCACTCTGTGGCCTGATCCTCCAGTCAGGCCTCTGCCCCATTGCACCTGCATCCCCAGCCCAAACACCTTTACTACCTTCCTGCAGCACTCCTCCTCTATGGCCAGATCTCCAATTCTACTGCTTCATTTTCTTACCCCTGTCCCAACATCAATGTCCAGAGTTCTGTCCAAATGCACCTCCTTACCGCTCTGTCTTTGCCTACCTTTCTATGCTGCATATCTAGGAGGCACCCAAATGTTGGCCGATTACTTAGAAACATTTAGGGACAGAACCCAGAAGGCCTCTTAGTCTGAGTGTCTAAGCCCCAGCCTCCAGTGTCTGGTGGGGGTAGAGGAGACCCTCACCTTCTTGATGAGGACAAATTCGTTCTCCATCTCTGTGCGCTTGTTGATCTCGTCCTCATACCTGGTAAGGGAAAGATAGAATCAAAGGATGAAGGCAAAGGGGAGGTTGCCCTGAGTCTTTTCAGGGAGGGCAAGGATATCTAGAAAATTCAGTTCTTGGAAATGCAAGATATCAGAGGGCTGGCTTGCCTGGCCCTTCTGTTCATCTGTCAGTGGGGAGGCCTTGAGCAGGAAATCTTTCTCCAAATCCATGAATACACATTGGATTAGACACAGTAGGGATATTAGGAGGGTTAGCAACAGGGTCTGATGTGAAACCTCAGACAACTTTCTGGGTAAGGAAGAAAAAGGGGCCGGGGCTGTAAGTATACAAGAGGTCTGTTGGCTACCCGTCTCTCCCATCTAAGGTTTACTACATAAATGTTAACATATAATTTGTTGTCCAAATCTGGACAATTCTGAGATTGAAAGGGGATGGGTGCTACTAACAATTATGCCAGGACAATGGACATAAACTAGACCATCCTGAGAAAACCTGGTCATATGGTCACCCTAATTAAATACGACTGCATTGCCCAACAAGCAGCGGGCCATGGGGTCTTAGGCCTCTGGTCCCCTGGGGTGGGACAGGACAAGATGACTTCAGTTGGACAGGTGGCAGTGGGGAGGAGGGCAGCTCACTTATTCTTCAAGTCCTCCACCAGCCCCTGCATGTTGCCAAACTCCGACTCCAGCCTCAGTTTCTCCTGGGCCAACATGTCCAGCTGCCGCCGAAGGTCGTTGATGTAGCTCTCGAACATGCTGTCCATGTTGCTGCGAGTCGTCGTCTGCTGCTGCAGGAGGTGCCACTTGGTCTCCAGGACCTTGTTCTGCTGCTCCAAGCTCCGCACCTTGTCGATGAAGGAGGCAAACTTGTTGTTGAGGGTCTTGATCTGCTCCTTCTCCTGGTTGCGCACGGCCTGGATGTTGGGGTCCACCTCCAGCTTCAGGGGGCTCAACAGGCTCTGGTTCACTTGGACAGCTGTAATGGTCTCCATATTCCCAGCCCCGCGGTAGCCCCCGGCCAGATTCATGTTGATGCCCAGAGCAGGCCGGTAGCCGCTGCCTGCCCGGAAAAAGGGCGAGGAGCTGATGCGGGAGCCGGTAGAACTCGAGTACGAGCGGCTGCTGAAGGCCCGGGGGCCAGAGGTGGACACCTTGTAGGTCTTCTGGGTCACCCTTGTGGACATGGTGGAGGCTGGAGTGGAAGCGAAGAGACGAGGAGACGAGGAGACAGAGA